TATAATAAAAATACATTTATTAGCTTCCTTTAAGTATTGCAATGCATAGAATTTAAAACTGTTACTCATTTGAAGGCTCTAAGTTGTATATATTTTAGTCAATTAAGTTGTAAACTGGAAGTCTGCTCAATGTCTCCATCCTAATGATCTGATACGGTGGGTATCGATGATACACAGTGGGTCGACGATGAGTCAGTTCCAACTCTATGACAATCAACAACAACGACATGGTGGAGCTAAGCATGCCCACTGATGAACAGAATTCCTTCTTGAGATTTAATCCCTATCCTACATGTAATTGCTTTTGCTGATCACCAAAAGCACTTCTTTCCTTTGAAGCGTCTACTTGGTTGTGTGGGATTCACCTACTTGGGTCTGACCCATCAGCAAGACCTGTGTTTCTCTTGCCCTAAAAGTAAGTGGGCTCACACTCACAGAGGAAACCTACAGAACACTAGCAGGGCTGCTGTTTGCCTAGTAAGACCATTAGATGGGATAGTCAAGAGACCCCTGGACAAGTAGATGAGCTGGGAGTTAGAAGTGGGGAGGGAGAGGCGAAGTCAACAGCTACAATTAAGGGAAATCTTTAAAATTCTTCTAGGCAGGTCAGGAGAGGTCATCAGGCTGGGCTTGTGGTAAAAGACTTGCAAAGCAGGATGTTAGGAGAAAGAGATTTAAGGAAGGAAGGGAGATCTGAAAGGCTGTAGGCAGTATCAAACACTAGGACTGTCTACAAGAGGATATATTCACCATTGCCCTTTACTTACCATTTTGCTTTCTAGGAGGAATCATAAGTCAGAAAGCTTGTGCTACTCAGTATTTTAAAACGAAAATAAAGTTTTTTAAAAGCAACAAATTATCATTATGTTTACTTTAAAAAAAAGGGAATTTAAAAGAATAGTTTCCTTTAACTCATTCATTATTTATAATTATATATGTGAATATCTGCCAGCAACATCACTGGCAGAAATTAGCAGAAGTATCCTGCCTGATTTTTTCCTCATGCAGCAGGGGAGAAGCATGTGAATTACAGACATACCTTAACAATTTCCTCACCGCTAACGTGCCGCAGTCGCCCCAGGATATCCATGATTCGGTCCGGGAAGGCCTTCCATTTCAGCAGAGCGAGGAGATCCACTAGAAAACAAGCACAACAGACACAGCTATGCCAAGGACGAGTGAGGCTCGGACTCTCTACCAAGGGTAGGCAGGGTCTGGAGGAAAATGCAAGTAGCTATATCTCACAATAGACTCTCAAGGGTGGAGAGAGATCAAGGTCAAAGACACATCTAGGAAGCCTGGATGCAGTCTTGAAATAGGCACTGTGGAGCTGCTGAAATGATGGAAAACACTGTAGGCTGCTGCTGCCAACATATTCCTTCAACTTCAAGTGAAAAGAAGTCTATTGTATGAAGAGAGCCATAAACTCAATATGCCCCTCTATAGGCACCAGAAACGTGGAGCTGGAGAGCAGCTGATGACAGTGAAGGTGGTACCACCTTGCAGGCACGGTTACCTACCATTCTGGGTGAGTTTGGTTGAGGAGAGCTGTGTGGAAATGGAGAAGGACTCTTTGGTGCTACGCTGGAAGATGAGGCTGGAGGGGATGTTAGGGCAACCATTATAGTCCTCTTTGCAACAGGGCAGACCCAGGTACAGAGCATGGTTGTTGAACGTGCTATTCTCATCACACTACAGACAAAAGTAGAGGAGAGAGAAGGTTTGTGAATAATGTCGTGTATAAAACTCATGTTCCAAGGAATGTGACACATTTGGGTGTCATGTCTTCCCACAGGAGTGCTTTCTGTTCAGAAACTACTCAGAACAGCTTTCAAAGCTTGGCAGGGCATCTGGCTTCTACCTTCAGTTGGACACTATGTTGTGACAGCTGACAGTACCAGGAGTGCAATTAGCAGGACACAGAATGCAGTACCCAAGACCACAAAGACAAAGGCACAGAGGGATTGGTAACAGGTTTCCAAGTGGAGGTGGAAACAAAGGACCTATGTGCCTTACTTGTGGGAGGCAAGGACATTGTACTTAGACAACAAAAACTTGCTAAAGGCCCTCCCGCTGTCATCTGCCAGCCTGAGGTCGTCTAACAGCCCACTACCTGGGGTCCTTTACCATCCCACTACCTGAGGCTGAGGTCCTCTACCAGCCCACCACCTGAGGTCCTCTACCAGCCCACTACCTGAGGTCCTCTGGCCTACCCACCAAGAATGGCTTGGCTGAGAACCATGTGTGAGAGCAGCCTTGGGGGTGAGGGACCAGAGGGAAAGATGGCCAGACCCCATACCTTGTAGACATAGAGCTCATGAATATCATCTGAGAGGGTGGTGCCATCATCCCGCATCAGGGGAGAGAACGCAAAGCCGAAGAGTTTCTTTTCCCCTTTGTCTTTTGCTGAAACCAGAGCCAAGAGTTAGTTGTTTCTGCTCACTATTTTGCTTTCTAACAGAAAGTTCCCCGGAGTTCATCACTTATGTTTTTTTGCCCCTTACTCTCACTAATTAGGGGGCAATCTGACTATAAGAATGATAAACAATGCACTACTTTAAGTTTATGCCCCAAGGTGCCCAGGCTACACAGACTCACAGAGAAGCTAAATTGCTAGTCTTGACAAACCCAGGTACCTATTAAATTGCCTTCAAACCCACTGTTGTAAAGATGATTCTGACTGAAACCTCCATAAGGTTTCTGAAGCTCTAAATCTGAATGAGAGATTTTATCCTTCTTTCTAGAAGCAGCTGCTGGATTAAAACTGCTGACCTTTCGGTTAGCAGCCCAACACTTAACCTACTGTGCCACCAGTACTCCTTAAACTGCCTCAAGATGTAGCTTAATAGTAAAAAAGGAAAAGGAGAATAACACTTGCATTTATTCACCCCCAAAGTGCTCAAGGGTCAATCATAGACTCCATGGTTTCAGATTATGGCTTTTACAGTCCACAGAACAGCTCCAATGGCATCTCACCTCTAAGCACCCATTTACTCACAACTCCTTATTTCACTGCTTCAGTAATGATTAATTCTCTTCCAAAGAGGACAGGAATGGGGAGAGGCAAGCGGTAGCTTTACATCCTAGAGGAAATGGGTAGAGAAGTCTTACTTACTAGAACAATGCCTGAACTCAAAGCGCAGGTGGGAGCCTCGGAAGCGGTCAATGGGGATGGGCAATTTGATAATTTCTCCCCAGCGAGGACTGTTACTGTGGTAGAGGACAAAGGAGTGGTAAGAACTTCTATTTGGCTCTCCTGAACCCAAGCTGATGCAATCCTGGAAGAGAGAGGCAAAGCAAGATGTCATCTACCTGGAGGAATCCCCTCTGTTTCAGTGTTTCTAGAACGCATTACTTTCACCCATGTTCTCATCAGCCCAAATCTAGAGCTAAGACCATTCCTTTTATTTATATGTAACACTTTTGGTAACAACTGTGTAGATGGTGTAAGGAACTGGCAGTCACAATGTTTCTCTGTGGCAGAAGTAAACATAAGGCTTCTCAGCAAACTGGAGGGAAGCTGGTGACTTGCTGAGGTCATGGATGTAGGCTCTTCATCCTCACTAAGAAAGCAAACAGTGAGTTCCCTGGGAGAAGTCAACTGCACATGAAACCTTTACTAGAAGAAAGGGGGAGAGAACCAAGTTAGAGCATGCAGAGGGCTTGTTTGCTAATCTTCCTAAATACAATGTTGCGTGGGCATTTTAAAGTTGCTCCAAGGAAAGGGAAGGTTGCCCTTGACTGGCCTGCCTTGGATTATAAATGAAGTACATCAGATCGATTACATCTGTGGAAGAAACCGCTGGAGAAGCTCAATATCAGCTGTGAAAACTAGGCCAGGAGCTGATTGTGGAACAGACCACCAACTACTCATACGCAAGTTCAAGCTGAAGCTGAGGAAAATTAAACCAAATCCACAGGAGCCAAAATATGACTTTAA